CTCCAAAAGTGCTTATACTAAACATAAGAATCTTCGTCATTGCTTACTCCGCAGTCCCACTGTTAATGAGATTCGGCCATGATACACACAACCCGGTAATGAATCCCATAGTGGTTGCTGAAAGGACGGTTTATGTGTGTCAAGTTGCGACGCAGTGGGCTACAGTGCAACTTTGAGTTTCAAGGCAAGTGACGCCTGCCCAAGTCAATTTTATGTTTATATTGTCAGTGAGGCAAACTTGTATTTGATGCTACAATCGACGACGCTAAATATATTTCGTCACAGTTTTTGTAAACAATCAGTTAATCTTGAATAGGCATTAATTTGCGGCAGACTCGACATCTGCCAGACAAGGAGTCCGTTGAATCAGTCTCTTCTTCCACTCTAAGTTGGATTGGAAACGTGGATGCTGTTGCTAAGATGCAAACCCATTTATCCTCAGGTTATTCGATTATTTCTTTGCTTTTGACGTTATATTTCCATGCTGCATTGCGTCTGGTGTTGGGTAGGTTAGAGTTGATGAGTTTTTCTCTTAGTGCATGGGCCCATGGTCCGAATCCCGCAAGGATTAGATTAGCCCAAAGAAAATCGAAAATCGTGGCTAGTTTTAACTGAGAATGGCCTTTTATGATGCAGACTGAACAAAAGTTTACTGACAAAATCCGGCTAGTCCTTAATACTTTTGATTCGACTTTCCAGCAGCATTTCTTTATATATTATCCTCAATTTGGTGTTGGCGGACTTGTCATCTCTGCCTAACAAAAAACCATTGAAAACTGCTATAACTAGACACAAATCGGACCCTTGATAGCTATCACCGGGCATAGGTTGTTGGTTAAGTTTGCATATAATGATATACAAACAAAAGTTGAATTTCAAGGAATCGTGTGAAATAGTAGGATGAGGAGATTGGAAGGTCGCTACTATCAGAAGAAGACGGCAGATTCCTTCTGACCTGTTATCGGTTGGCCTTACTGAAAGCTTCTTTCTGACGCTGTCCTTGAGGCAATCTTTATCGACTTTTGTGTAAACGTACCAGGCTTTCGTCCGTCATATGATGGCTATCGTCAATGCATGGTATTCTTATAGCAACAATAGTTAAGATGAGTTAAGACAATTCATTGGTTCATCCCTAAATGCTGTAAACATATACCCTAAATCTATCAATCAAGTTGTTTGGCTAATTCAAATCGCGCGTCTATCATGAAGCATATGCATATTTAAGTTTTATGTGTGATAATGCGTCTTTCTGTGATCAGATATGTACGAAACCATCAGCGAATAAGGCTAAAACTAATTGGAAGTTATAAAGAGAAGCTGGGTTTCAAAGAATCTCCTAGTGGATTGATACTGGCATACCCTTCATTTCGGTTGAGTAGACAGGTGATACAAAGAAACATACGGGCCGTGAAAAGCCGATGGCAGAACGGGGACTATGAAAAAACAGTAAGGACGATGAAAGATTCACCAAAATGGATATGCCTGCCTTCCTGCGAACTAACTCAAAAACTACGGCCAATATTGAGGAAATGAAATATTCGGATGGCCATGAAGGAAAAAACAACACTTTTCACAAGTCTACCGACAAATTGGATTGTTCTGGAGTTTACTGTCTATCATGCAGCGAGATCCGGACAGGAGGCCCGAGTCGGATTAGCTGATCGAAAGAGAGGTGTGATGACGCCACACTAAATTTGCCAAAAAAGGCACACATTTTGACGAGTGGAATGTAAACAAGTGAAAGGTTGTGAGAGGGTTAAAGGATTGACTTCACTTGTCTCTGACGAATTCATAGCTTGGTGCGGAGAATGGCAGCACTCACTGATGATGCCGACTAAGATGCTGACAAAGCGTCCTAGAATGCACCAAATCCACGCTCTGATGCTGAGAATGATGATAACTAGCATAGCAGAGGACTTAGGACAAGGTGCGTCCTACTAAGTCGCCCTGACAACAAGACCAATCTGCGACAATGAGGTAAACCCACTTCTATAAATCGAAAGGAGACTGAGACCGTTCCGAGGGCCACACCATCCTAGCCTTCATATATTCGATTAAACTATGGTATTGCATAGTTTTGACAAGACACTTTTCTGATTTAAGGCTCGTTCATTATTTGTCCAATAAAATTTCAGGAGGCTGTCAATGAGGCTAAACCGGGTGATGCTTCCCATGAACAATTGTCTCATTTTACACACCCATTCATGCCAGTCATTCAAGCGAATAGAAAACTAACTGGGTATCGAAAAGTCCATTGAGTTAACATTGTTGTGAATGTACCAGAGGAAGAGATTTTGGGATCGAACTGACCAGAAGACGACAGCTGATTCCCGCTAGTATGCAACCGTAGACTTTATTACAACGTTCAGGTTGACGCAGTCTGCGATACATCCTCCCTCGTTTTGAGGCAAAAGGGATGAGAAGAAAAATTGGGTTATGAGGATTCTCTTGTTTCACAATTGTTGAGCTTACTTCTATTTCGAGTGAAAGTGTTTGGTGAAGAAATTCGAAGGTCGATTGCACAAGAGGACGACGGCGTGTTCCAATCGACAGCTGATCAAGAAGAATTCGCCTTCGTCTTCTGAAGGAATCGAACTTCAAATTTCTTCACCAAACATTTTCACTCGAAATGGAAATAAGCTCAACAAAAGGGATTGGTTTTCATCATTCAGACCACTTGACGTACATTTTCAAAACTGGAAATCATTCTGCTAAAGTTTTAAATTTACGCCAAGTCATGAAGGCTATCCGGCACTATCCTACATGCCATATTTAGTTATTACTAAAAGTAGACATTTGTAAATACTGATACAGATGGCTAAGAATGATTTGGATTGCCTTCGTTCATATTAAACATGTTTGTATATCTGTACGCCTTTGGACATGTACGCATCAAGTTAACACTATTTGAAGAAGACTCAGCGTCTCTATATTACATGTAGGATATCACCGTTTGCTTTTCTTAGCATAGTGTCAACTTGATGTGTACAGCTTTTAACACACCCACACACTCAGATATAAGTATCATGATTAATATTAAAGTAAACTGACCATATCTGCATACTTTCGTTTTTCGTTATGAGTATAACTAAAGGATGTGATAGAGCAGATTAGGCTTCCTGAAGGAGTGTTAAATGGAGTTTTTGCAAGAGTGAGTTCCAGCTTTGATGACTGCCAGGTGACATCATGGACGAAATGTCAGTCCATTTTGACCCAAATAATTCCTCGTCGACTACATTGTATAAAATCCAAACGGCTGTAGAACAAATGGAATCTACCAGTGCGATCTCTTCATTAGACATTCTCATACGAAACCAAAGTCTTCATAATAAGGGACTAGAAGACCAGACAATAGATGTGGTGAATAAATTTGCCATGATGGGAACCACAAATGCTCTGAGGGATGCATCAAAAGGTTAATTTGGAATGCGTCATCCGACAAACCCTGCGAAACTTCCTAAAACTATTCTGATACTACTGTCTACACTTTATCCAGTAGCATGCGCCTAAAACTGCTGATAGCGTCGACGTTTTGGGAGGTCTAGGTTCCTACTGACGAAAAGGTGGTAGTGTATAAGGCAAAGTTGGCAAACATCTGGCATCATCACTAATTCCAGCAAACCTCTTTGTTTGTCCACACGTATTGTCTGTTTCATATCCGGTGTGAAGTGAGTGTGTCCACCAGGTCTGTCGGTTGGGCAGACTCAGGCCTGATTTTCCGCGCCAAGCAGCCAAGATTCCGGGGTTCGCTTATCGAGGGAACGGCACCCATACCTGATCCCAAGACTAAGAGGAGCAGATGGGGTGAAAAGGAGGAGAAGGACGATAATGCTCTTTCCGCAGTCGAAGACTGTATGGGCTTGGCCACTGGCCCATACGTTGGTTGCGCTGCTGCAAATAAAGCGGCCAACAATTCTGGCAACAGAATCGATTTGTTTGCCTGTTTGTTGGTTGGATGCTGGCCACGTTTACAGTTCTTGGGGCGAAATGGGGGCATGAGAAGGGAAAGAGGGTAAGTGTTGGAAATATGTTGCAACGAAAGACGGTACAGGTTGGGAAAAAGGATTGTAAACCAATGAAGTCAAAAAGAATGCAAAGCTGAGTAGGTGTCCTTGCATTGTGCTTGCATTGTGTCGGTGATCGTGATAAAACTGACGCCAGGATTTCCCAGGCGAGAGGAGAAAGCATTTGGAGGAGTGGCATAGAAGGGGTCAGAAGACGCCAGGCAAATAACAGGGCAGCATGTAAGTTGGCAGGCGACCCCGCCTCCGAGAACAGCGACTGTAGAAATTAATTGGCCAGAGAGAAGGAAAGAGAATGAAGGAAGGTGCCGTGGAGAGGTGGGAGGCCATGCGGGAATGCGTGATGACTGGTTGAATCTTAGGCGCCGGAGAAACGGGAATGGGGTGGATTTGTTTGTTTTATTTGGGCATTTGGTTGTTCGAATTGGCAAACATGTAGGCTGCTGGGTGCATCAGTAGTGATATACAGATAGACACACACACAAACATATAAATGCATACATACATACATACATACATACATACATACATACATACATACATACATACATACATACAT